TCTATAAGCAAATAACTCCTCCGTCGATTGGAGTCTAAAAGATTGGTGTTTTTCAATGTAACATTGGGGTATAACTAGGGCTCACGTGTTATTTTCTGGCCATTGTTGTTTCCCTCTTAGAGATCGTGAGCGACGAACGATGATTCTTTGATAGATAGCAATTACATCACATCCATGTGTCGCTTTTTGGACTATATTTTATTTTAGTCATACATTGATTAGGTCAATAGTTTGGAAATCTATCAGTGAAATTTAAAAAACCGGTCTCGTTTTACACACCGTTGAGGTAAAGCTGTGTGGGAATAAGTTTAGAGCAGCGAGCGAGCGACAGAGAGAGAGGGGATCCGCACCGCAAGAAATAGCTATTGATTGAGCATAGACAGAGTGCTCCAGCTGTAGTATGATGACGTAACTTAATGGAAACGGATGAAAGAATAGTCATCAACTCATTAGTTTTTCGACAGACTATGAACGTTTCTAGGATTTTTGTAAAACGAGCTGTCCACGAAGTTGATCAATGTTGTGGGTATGTACAGGGAATTTTATGCCGAATTTGGTTACACTTTGTAACCCCGGAATTAATGCAAGTAACTATGGTTTTCAACGCCTATCAAAGTGGAAAAGATATGATTCTAGTGGCTAAGACCAAATACATTCATCGTCAAATATAAGTCAAATCGACAGGGAAGTTACCTTCTTTATTTCTCACTCTCTCTCTTTTGGACTTCCCACTCAAGTATTTGTCGGTAATTCTCCGGCTATCGAATGAGCATTACGTAAAACATCAAAGAAACCGATAAGTTGTTCAAAAGAGGGATTTCATTTCAATCGGTTCATCCTGCCCCATCTCTCATCCCCACCCCTCGGTCGCTGCCCGGAACACACACATACCCAACCAACCAACCAACCAAGCGAATCTCCGCATTTGCTCTTCTACTTCTGATAACAATCCGGTTTCACCGGTTGTACAGAGTGCATTTTTTTTCTATTTCAACGTATTTGCGCTTATCCGGCCGCCATTTTGGCTTACTTAGACAGTCGGTTTCATCATCGGACAGTACTCGAGTTGGGGGTAAATGGCAGCAGAGAGGGGGCGAGACAAAATACCGCAGCAACGACAATGTCACGGTAAGCTAGTTTTCAGTACATAGTCCCACCGCTCAAGTGCCGTAGAGGACACACACACAAACTCACAAGCAGCTTAGAAATCCATGTACATGTCCGTTAATCCGTTGAACAACTAAATACTTTCTAACAAACTAAACATCTATCTAGCCAATCAACTATCAGAAAATGAAATTGATTCGCTCAACAAAAAACGAAAAAAAGAGTAGGGTCGCTTTTATTGGACTGTCAAACGTTTGCATTTGGAAAATGAACAGACTCCCAATTCAGTCTCAGTAATAAAACGTCCAAAGTACCCACGTGTGCGTGTATGTGCGTATGCGCACGCGTGCACACACACAGGAACACTCAGACACGTACACGCTAGTGAGCGTGTGCACAGAGTCATCTCGGTTCACTTTGAGAACGTCTGTTTAGACCGGTAGTTGCCTACCAGCTATAAATCGTACAAGCATTCTAGCCATCTGCTATAGACTCACCCATAGGTTGTGAGTAAATTTTATCGCATAGTTTTGTATTTTATGCTCAACTGCCCTGACGGGAACAGTTCAAGTGATTGCGGCAATCATCGCCATCAACCTGTCGGGATACGTCATTTGGTTGCTCCGTACGGAATAAGGTCGCTTTGGTCAGAGGCCACCTAACGGCAGTACGTAAACACACAACAATATGCAGTGTGTAACAACCGGGCTCGCAGATACGATCATGAATAATAGACTATAGTTCAGTCCGTTTAGTAGACTTTGACATCCACAAGCCTGGTACCGTTTTTAGATTCACTCAGTTGATAGTTCAATAAAATTTCCCGCGCGCGTATGCACGCGTGCCCAATTTCTCTCGTTCGCGCTTCCAAGTGATTCACATTTTTTCAGTCGATCTCATCGTATTTTTTGTTGATCGGACTCTCGAGAGGATCATCGACATGGAGGTGGAGAGGCATATTTGGTAGCAGCTGTTCATTGACCAGCCAACGTGTGTACATCGGTCGTTCGAGTGGTCTGATTTCTGCATTCCGTGTAGAATGGCGGTGGTGAATGTCTAGTCACCTTCGCTTTGTCCAACAAACAAAAAAAACAAAAATTGTCTTTCGTTTAAAACATGAAATGATTTGATTCCGTGAAAACTATGACAATTTTGATATGACGATAACAGAGATCCCTGTCACACAGGGATAAGGGTTATCGCTCCAAATGGATTATTTATAAAAGACTTTATGTATAGTAAATGAATAACACAACTGCTTACAGTGGATGCGGCAAATATTGTGGACAGAATACGAGTGACTGGGGAACAAGAGCATGTTTCACAGACTTAGCTGTTGGAAAATTAGAAGACCTCATTTCGGACTGTTCATTTACTCCGGAATATTAAAAATGTTTTCACTTACTTTTTTGGTTATAAAAATAAAGTTTCAGGAAGGAGGCCTTGGTCATATATTTGTTACTTGGGGAAATACAAGAAATGGAGATGAGTGGCAGTGGTGTGGTTCGAACTCAAGATATTCAGGTGACCATTATAATGACCATATCACTGGAGTTCTACAGCCCAAGGTCGGCCAGGGATGAGTAGTTTAGAAACACGGTCAACGGTCACGGCTTCGGCACTGTTCAGTCTGATTGACTGAACTGAGAATAGTGCCTGAAAACAGGACAGAGACATTCTATCCATGTCTGATTGTCCGAGCATACTATTACATCACTGCAGGTGTCTGTTTTTGGGCCACTTCTCCGGTTTGTGACTGGAGTACGGCTATGAGGACGGAATTTGCACGTGAGCTGTTGAACGCAGTGTGTTAGATATTAAATCTAGTGAAACAGTTCATCTTGTCATGTTACCTATTTTCGAGTCCACCGGTCGGTTACCATGTCATTAATGGTGTGTGTCTAAAAGTGAGTGCCATATTATAAATAATATGCATTCATATGCATTATTATGCATTCATTACATATTTTCATGTGTTTCTTCGGATCACATTGCCTTCGACATCCACAAAACTCGATCCGAATACCAAGTGTACACTTTGCTTGTCCAACTCACTAGTTCAATCACTGCAGTCAGAAGACGTGGATCTTTATCTCGCAGACTGCGTTTCGCCGTAGCGTGATTCCAAACAAATGTTTTTGTCAAACCATCGATCTCACATAGATACGAAGCAGCATCACATTTTGTCCCAGGGGAAAAAGCAAGGTTTATTTGTCCAGTAGAATAGAATGCATCAGTTATGCAATGTTCAATTTCAAAACTTATAACGGAAACGCTCCCAAACAGATATCGTCTCTGTCTAAGCTGCCGATAGACACTAGTTTTCAATTGTTCCCACCTTGTGGGGGATGTTCATTGGTGTTTTTCTCCTTTTACGCCTTTTTACTTCATTTCGCGTTTTTTTTTCGTACCTCCTAAACCACATTGTTGTAATGGAATGGATAGACATAACAATAGTATTGTGATGAATTTTCGTCACATGCATTTCACGCATACGTTGAGAAATTTGAATTGCTCCAAAACCATCCTTTTTGATGCTTACGTCTGAAAATTGCTTTATTGGAAAATGACTGTCTCAAAGACTCTGGGAGAGGCGAACTCGGTGGGATGGGATGAGATATATGTACTGGTTTTTCTGTGTTTTATTGACTTCTTCCGTCCGTCCTCCCTCGCACTCCAAAAAATGTTACTTAGATATTTCGGCGGGAACACGGACAATACACGCCAGCTGTTACATTTCATGAACCACGAATTGTTACCAAATGATTGTATTATCAGTAATATTAAGTTAAAATAAATCATGGATTTTATATAGACTGAACCTAAACTCACCGATTCTTAGATGGAATTCACAAGCATGGAGTAGCTCCCTGATTGAATGCCTTCATTAAAGCCGAGGGTGAAGGGGTGAGNNNNTGCAACAAGTTGGCATGTGTTATGGATAGTACCCGATTGGAACTCAAGATTCCTATTAGTGGTAAATATCAAAAGGGCTTATAATGTTACAGTTTCCCTTTCAAAGGGGACAAAAGAAAGAACGAAATTGTTCTCAAATTGATCCCAGTTTAAGTCTGATGTATTGCCACTTAAGATCGACGCGAGGAGATGCGCAAAACTACTGATCACAAACAAAAAATGGAAGATGCGTGACCAATATGAGGCTGCTGATGAGTGGACAGCTGGTACTGTGATAAAACTAATGACAATGTCAAGCGCGGGTGTGAGATTTGAGAGAGAGTTTCTGAACTATTTGATAATCTTACCACCATTCTTTGTACAAAAAGTGAATAAAATTTCTTTTCCAATGGTCAAAAAGGAGTATTTAAGAAATGTAACTATGTAACACACGCATATCACTATTGCTCAATTGTAAATATCATTTAAAATCAATTTCATACATCCATCTACCCGCAAATGTTAGTTCTCAAAGTGTTTTAAAACGGACTACAGAACTGAGTTGTTAACAGATAACTTTTTGTGTTTGAATCGTGAGAAGTGCAATAAGCTCGGTTTGATTTGAACCCACGCGTGTGTGACACTTAATTTTGTGCACAACGCTCATCCTATCAGCTGAGCTAAGTGGCCGTACCGAAAGCACTGATCTTTCCTACTTTGGATAGGTGTGGGCGGCATCCATGCCTGGGTTCGAATCCCATCGAAGCTACTGAACTTTAAAAAATTGAAACATGATAGCTTATTTAAAATAAAGAGGAGTCGAATGAAAATCTAAAAATTAAATTATCAATGACATGGTTCCTTTTCTTTCCCTTCTGCCTATTTCTGTTACTTACAGACCGCAGAACGGAGCTCTCATGTTTGGGACATTTACGCTGGATTCCGGAAATTTGAGACACACCAGTTGAACGGATAAGTGCAGATACGGGGTGTCCAAAATGGTCGGTTCGGCTCCAAGTGTCGGGAAACCCGGTGATATGATATGTTTGTGCATCGGAGGACGCTTGTTTGTGACCAGAAGAGCCACTCTCTACCGATTACCAGATAGCCGACTGTACCTGATTGCCACGCAGGGCTCCAGTTGTGAGACAGTAACCGATAACTATAGCAACTTATCTTTTCAGGATGGCTATTTGAAACCACCAGCTTCCGGATCTGCACTCTCCCCGAATCCGACAACACCGAGTTCGCTTATGCGGCTTCATAGTGCTCAGCATAGTGAGAACACCGTCGTCGGTGGAGCATCCGTACTACCTAGCAACGTGGCGTCAATGTTGGCGGGAAATATGAATTTGAAGTCGGCGTCCAGTCTATGTCGGAATCGGGGCTCTATCGCTCCCAGTATCACACCCCAGCCTCAAGCAACTCCCGCACCAACAGATTTGAACAGTTCGTTAAATCTGTCCGTTCCGGGGACACCGGGATTTGGTGGACAGCTCCCATTCAACCCTTCGTTCCTCCAACCTCCAGCACAACCACCGCCCATTGTATATTTTTACGATCGTGATCCAGAAATATTCCGATTTGTATTAGACTATTATCGAACAGGCGAACTCCATTTACCTTCGAGTATTTGCGGTCCGTTTGTTAGGAAAGAATTAATCTTTTGGGGTATCGATGAAGCACTGATCGGCCCGTGTTGTATGCCAGCTTATATGCGTTACGACGAGGAGAAACGTACAAAGAACACTCTATTTCGGGATTGTTTTGAAGATATTGATTCCATGCAGAATTTGGTGAAATTTTCAAGGGGATGGAAAAAATGGCGTTACCAGATGTGGTTATTTATGGATCATCCGAGTTCATCACTTCCGGCCAAAGTGAGTCTGTTTGATTCGTTATCTGGGTAGCGTTTAATTAAATAGTTTAACTGTTTTTTTTCAATTTTTTCCTGGATGGAATTAATCGGGACCAAATGAATAGTTAGCTCATCAAGTATACACAAATAACCAGTAACTTTCAATTCCAGTGAAAAACACTTATTCTTCAGCTTCATGGTTTTGGTTCCGTTCTCTGTAACCTTGAATTCCCTCAGGCTGCTAGGTTCATTTTTCCAGTGAAGCTTATAATATATCGATTCCGTGGTACACAACCCTTGAGTAAAACATATACGGCTAAACTTGAAGACGTCACTGTGAATGATATTCAACTGTCTTAGATGAACCCAACAAAGTTTTCGTTGCACTACATACTCTCCTTTGAGGGACTCTACGTAGCCATATATTTTCTCTATGCGATGCTTTGTATGAGATTAAATTAGTCTTAAATCAGATCCGTTGCAAAAAGAAGCTCAATTGTGGATGCATAATAGGCCACTATCAATTTTCCCTGACAAGATTCATTCCGGTTTTAAAAATGTTTCATTTTCAATCCGACACACAATTGAACCATGTTCCACTTTAGGTAGCCCATTCACCATTATGGATAGAAGATCTCTAGATCAGAAACCGAAGCATCGGTAATTTTATTCCCAAACTGACCAACTCTCAGTTTACGGCACGTGTATAGGAGTATGAAGATGACGATCTTCTGTTCTTCAGTGCTCCCAGTAAAACGCTTCATGCTTTTATGGTTTATCAATCTTTCACCCGAGTTTCCTGTTGAATCAACCAGTGATTAAACCAAAGGTATCAGATCGGGAATACACGCAGATGTGTGGAAACTTTGACCAGTGAATTTTATTTTGTGGATGACATCGTGCGTTATATGCGTGTAGCACAAGCCCGCTTGTGTTTTAATCGCAGCTGGAAATGGGTGCGGTTTCACCTTAAAAAGGAGGTAAATACAGGACACGGTAAATCAATTTACTGAAAAAATGAAGGTACAATAAATGAAAGGTATCCGCAGGTGATTCCTTAGAACTGAGACACCGATATCCTTCTTTCCTTCTTTAATGTAACTACGGTAATTTGTAAGCAGTTGATCGTTTCTGCGGGACACTTATCAATGAAGATGTAAAATCTAGCATACTACTTACTTATTTGTAGTAGTGTCTGGTCTCATATTATAACTGATGCTTCGGGCATTATACGCCAATTCTTTCTTAGTGGAATAAAGAGCCATTCATTTCTTCAATCGGTCATCGCAAACCGCAAACCGTACAATGAGAGGGCCTCGGTATCACGCACACAGTGGCTAGACGAACTACCGGAAGTGGCAGTAAGGAGACGGATGATGCAGTGTAATTCCCAAAAGGTACGATAGGCATTTGTGGACTGAACCAACAGACAGAATGTTACGCCTCTGTGTTCAAGTTTTCTCTGTTGAAAGATGCTGTTGAGTTAGAGTGATACCAAATGAAAGAAGAAAAGAAAGCTCCGCTTATCAAAATTCAGTTGAATTGACTGTGGGAACAGATTGGGTCCGTTGGTGGCCGATCGCAGATCTACGTTCACTGAACAAATAGGAACAGAGCAAAAAGTAATTATATCAATGTTTTGCGTGTAGCGCTTCTTTGCAACTCTAAATAAAAACTCCGTTGTATGTGAAGGATACCGTGAAACGGTTAATGATGATTCGATGGTAAAACACGAGAAATGATTTTTTATTGTTTAATCGAAATCCGAATGAGAAAATTTATTATTTTTGTCAATATTAATATTAGTATTATTATATTAATAAACGATGATTCACAACGGGAGCCTTCAGCTAACCAAAGCCGGATTCGCTAAAACAAAGGAACGTTGTGGGAAAACCACGGCCAGTCTTAACAGCCATCTCACTTTAGTGTTAAACCTCTCGCAACGCGAACGCACTGAGTGGGACTATACCCAATGGTTGCTTTAGCAAAAGCACTCGATTAAATAAATCCTTGAGGTTTTTATTCTTGTATACTTGTGTGTGATGGACAGCAGACCGGGCATTGGAACCCCCATAGTCACAAAGACCTGCTGTTCAGTGATGGTAATCGGCAACCTAGGCCCCGGGGCTTGTAGTGGCGAACCCAATAAGATCACACTGCTAGGTTAGGTGTGGTATTGAACCGGGTGACAGCAAAGCTGTCTACCACTAAAGTTAAGTAGTTGTAGAAGGGGGTTCGAACCTGGGATCACAGGGTTTAAAGCATGCCAGTGAAAACAACAAAACCATTACCCTTAACTTCCAGGAAACCTGAAATTTTCGAGGGTGCATGCTCGTATAATGTTGTGCAGCCGGGTAAGATTTTTGAACAGACCGTTCAACTGCTTAGTGGGAAATAGGAATAGAGATAGAGAAGTCCAGCCAGGATCTGTGAGAGGCAAGCACAATGACTGAAGATACACTCTTGCAATTAATATCGAGAGATCATGGTTAGTTTGGGAGACTACAACCAACCTGCTCGCACGACAGTTGGATGGTTTTGAAGAGTGTTTTTTGAAAAACAAAGTTAGATGCCCATTCTGTTGGGCGATGATTCGGGTGAGGATATTTTATAGACAATTTAAACTGTATCTCTATTCGCATGATGTCCAGCATGATGTCCGCACTGGATATCGTTTTCGTGGTCCTTGTACTTATCTACACAAGTCCACATTCGCTTGTAGCTCGAAAAATGGCGGATTTCCCTGTTAGTTCAACATAAGTGAACAAATGGATAGGGTGAGTGGAGAGAAGTAGAGCACTTTGTGTTTCCCCTCGAATAAATTACGAGCATGAACCGGCTGGTGAAATGTGCAAGTTTACGAGTGCTCGATTCATCTAGACATACTGTTTTTCAATCACTCTTGTAATCGTCTTGAAAAACAGAAATATCTACGGTTACTTCGTGGGCTGACTATTGCAATTGCCAGTCCTCTTGATCTATCGGGTTCTAAGTTCTTTTCATAAGCTCCTTGGGATAAACGTTTTCAGCAGTATTGCATTGAAACGTTCCAATATTGCTCCAGGTTTTCCGCGGGAGATACTTCCATAAGGTTGGAAGCACAGGGTGAACGATGATTCATCTGTTCGTCTCAATTATGTAACCAACAATTTGAAGACAACAATCAGTGTAAGCAGTTTACTGGCAGCAAAGGAATTATTCAAAACAAACTTGTTCTGTTATCAATGTGTTGGTGCAACGACCTCAGTCAGATGTTTGAGTAGTTCCCAGTACTGACTTGACCAAATGCAGTCAACTCCGCCTATCTGAAGCCGATAGGACGAAACAACTTCCGTTTTGATACCATTGAAACCGACAACCGCTCGTCATTCCATTTCACTGAGAGAATAACCGTATACTGTACCCGTATGGGAGAGCAGAACAAGCTTACGAGTGGACCTTTTTATCAACTGTTCCCCTTTGGCCCCGATTCCAAATGGTGACTTTAGTAAAACTTTATTTGTGGGAATAAAAATTCCTCAAAGTGTGTTTTGGTACTCACTTTCATCATCAATTAATGACATGCTATGACAATAATAACTGTATTCATCACCACGATGTCTTTCACGGGACAGAACCCCTGTACGTGACTGACACAGCGTCAAAGGCGGAGAGTTGATGAATCCTCTTCCATCGGTTTCGAACGCTGGCACCGGAACCAGGGTGATCAAGGACGCCCTGATGGAGGTTCGCCCTTGCACTCTGGCGGTTTCAAGCCTGCGAAGATCCCTAATCGGGCTCGATCGGGTGCGTAGTATTTGCCAGTGAGGAGGTATTCGGACCATCTCTTTCCTTATGGATGGTGATGGCCAGGTGACAACGTCACCAAATTATCAAACCGGAGGACGTGTGCTCGATACCCACCATCACCGCCCGACTTTTTTTCCATTTTTGTGTTGTATGTCAGCCCTTTGATTGGCCGCTTCCCTCTTGTTGGAAATTTTAACATTAGATATTCAGTAAAAGGAAAAAAATATGAAAAAATGAAAAAGAAGTCAAAATAATCATTTCACGATAAAGAAAGAAAGCCATCCAGAAGTGCAAAACACGTCATTGAACGCATTAGTAATGATGGATTACAATAAATCTTTTGCTCAGTCACGAGTCTGACAGATCATGCGGAAGAAAATCAACCGCCTTCATAATGACCAATTTTTATTGTCCTGGTCAGTAACTCGCTTATGGTTCAAGGGGTTTGAAGACCCGAGTAATGATTTTTAGTTCTCATGCATGAGAACTGAGTTTAATCGATTTAGCATGCATCATATTCTAGGGACCCGCCACCTGATCGGTGATCTGTAACGATTAAGGATCATGCTTTTTCATGCCCCAGGCGTACTTTGATATTAGAATATAGTTGACCCAATGCTCCTCAGATCAGGTCAACTTAAGCCTCATATAAGCAAGGAGTGTGTTATCTTTTATTCACTTCAAGACCCAGGATTCGGTTTTTCAACATGAACCACATACCTTAAGGAGAACAAAAAGAGTTCGAACAGCGCATGGATGTATGTCACTATGTCCTCGTTTCCTAAAGTATGTTCATTTTGGATGTTGGTCACAAAACGTGAAATTTATCCTGATGAATATGTCTGAAAACAATCCGTAGGTGCAGAGTGATTAACATAACAATCTGAAATAAGCTCCTTTTAGAAGGACTTTACGAATGAAACTATGTGAAAAATTCCTCGGGGAAGGAAAATGACACGTGGGCACTCGGATATCCCTTGTCATATTGTAACAATTTAATCGGAATTGTTTAAAAGAATGCTTCGAGATGGCACACGTTTACAAAACTCTCATTCCCACGCAGTGATCGTTCCACCATTAAAGGTTTAGTAGTTATCTCAACGGCGGTGGTCGTGTGGCATAGACGATTAACTCATTGCTTCGTGATTGCTTCGTGTATTTAACATAAATTTCCCTCTCTCTAACACTGCTGTCCTGCTTATTCGCTCGTTTACAACTATGCCACTTCCAAGGGGACTCTCTTACATTTATTATTTCATA